ATTTTTGATTGTAAATTTTTTTCTCAAAATTGTCGTTGTAGCACAAAAAGTTCAGTGACTAAGTGACTTGCACCATACTACCTATGTAAAGTTACGGCTATTCAAAAATGGCATTACGTTTTTTTACTTTAAAACAAGGTTTTTGTTGTCTTAAAAATTAGTGAGAATATGCAGCTTTCATATGGGGAGGGTAGTCGTTGTTTGTTTCGTAAATGAAAAGTGAAAGACTTATTGCTCAAAAATAGATATAAAGCCATTATTTTTACTTCCAAAAACATGAATCAAATTTGGTGCACAAAAAAAAGTATAAATTGGGAGATGTTGAAACATTTTTTCTTGATATTAATATTAATAGGCCGAGGTTTTTTTGTTTGCGAGAAGGATCCGATTTGTTCGACGTTTTAATTCAAGATCTTTGAAAGGAAATTTTTTCGTACTAAATGATGCTTTGCACATGAAAATTTTTTGAAACAGTATATATAGTACATATGGTGCTTAACACACACTCAAATTTTGTGTATAATAATAAAAATATGAAAATGTACTAGCACTGGTACGGAATATCTACCAACCGGTAAATGAAATAATTGACCTTCGAAGGAACACTGATGTATCGTTAATATGCGCATATGGACGCATACGAGTCTTTAGGATTCTTTGCTTTGTTAAACTCCAATGCTGATATAAGAAATCTTGTATTGATTTTTTCATATAAATAAAGAAAGAATTTGGTACAAACAAAATCATAAAATAAAAATATTTAAATCAAAACTATAATCAATCAAAATGTACGCAATTAATAATAATAATATTTACTTGTTCTTGTTCTTGACATTATTTACAACAATAATCAATTCATTTTCCTATAGTGATTTTAGAAAAAGAGCACCCGAAGTTGGTATGTTTACTCAGTGTGATGGTGATTTTCCCATCACTATTATTGAGGATACATACACTCCGTCAATATTCGTACCTGGTGAAAAGACCACCGAACACTTTGTATGGGATAGCACTGTCGAAATTGAACCAACAACCACTTTTGTCCTGAGTGTTTCCTTGCTTGATGGCACAGCAATATTAACACACGAGGAGGATTATTGTGAAAGCAACTCGAAACCTCCTGATATAGATTGTCCAATTCCGGCAGGACATCTCGATTTTACACTCGAATATGTGTTCCCTATTAGTCCTACCCAACCTGTTAATGTAACTGAGCAATATCTCATAAAATCGACTCGTAAGTTATCTCGTATTGTTTTATTAATTTTGCTTGACTCTAATAAATATTTGCTAATGTTGTTATTTGATTATTTAGTTATCGGTTCGGATGGTACAACTTTACTGTGTGAATCAGGTATAGCCACTGTAGCATACCCTTAATTCATATATTTTATATACTTAAGATTTTAAGATTTTTAAATGTCAAACTTAAGCAATTATAATTCGTATAATTCATAATTCATAATTCATGATTCATGATTCATAATTCATAATTCATAATTCATAATTCATAATTCATAATTCATAATTCATGATAAAATTTATTGGTTAATATTTCGAAATGTAATAAAAAAATTTTTGTTTTAATATTTAAAGGCGTTCAACCAGTCAGTGTTGGGAAATTGCCACTCCACTGTGCATTCCTGTTTTATTTTTAGAAAAATAATGAAAATATGGTTAAATGGCTCCGCTTACGGTTAATTATTTTGTTAACGATTGATATTAATAGAGCATGGCATAAAGCCAATTTTTGATTGGTTAACATTAGAGATGGGAAATTCATTTCATGCGCGTGCATTTCTTGGGGGGAAAAATATTCATAAAAATTAAAATAAACATCTAACATCACCACAGCTACCTTTTTCTTCATTTCTTTCTATCCCAATGCTTACATAAATTCCATCACTTTCATCATCATGATGATGTCAAATTCGTATTTGGAGGAAACTTTGGACCAAATGGTGATTGTTGATACAGAGTTACATACATCCCTAATACTATAAAAAATATTGCACCGAGAACATACGGAAAATGCATTCCACATCTTTGAACAGCTTGATTTAATTTATGGCTGCAATATTTACAACTTGCTTTATTTTGTTTGAAACCATTAATTCCACCAAATTTGATGAAATAGATTTGAATTTGAGAAACTATTTCATAAAGTCATTGGCAAATAAAAATTAAAAGTAAAAAAGATGACAGAATAATTTTTTTTTACGTTATTATCCTACTTACAGTCCTTACTTTCCAAATAATGATTGACTCTGTTATCAAAATTATTTTCAATTTGTAAACTTCCACTTCCATTTATAAACTCATCTTTTTCCCTGCAATCAAACCGATCATGATTTAAAACTCCAGAAATGCATGCATTTACATTCATGAAAAATTGCGGAAAGGTCACAGGGGAAAAGGCGGACTTTGCCACTATTGCAAATTCGTGGAAATTTTCACGAGTATTTCTAGAATTAAAATTCAAAGTAATGTATTATATTTATTTCATATTAATAGGGTCTAATGTTTTCTAAGCGATGGTCGTCTTTTCCAAATTCAGTTCAATATCTAACGTATTATTATTTTCATAGAAATCAAATCATTTGGGTTATAATTTAAATCATTATTTGCGAACGTTACCCGACAATCGTTTCTCTGACAAGACGTTACCCGACAACTCATTTCATTAATATTTTAATACTAACCAAACTGATTTAAATAGCTTAGCCAGCTAACAAATGGTTTAACCGGCTAATAAACGGTTCCCAACAAATTAATCGGGTAATAAATGACTTAATTGACTTAAACAGATTAGCCGGCTAATCAATTGACATCATCAGATATATTTCATTTCCTAATATTAACGGATATTCCCTGCAAAAAATTTATTCCGTGATTAGTCTCAGTGTTTTTCCCATTGTTAATCTCGGTTTTTTTATATTAATATACATTGCATTTTCGTGTTTTCCCATAATAATAATAATAATAAATGTATCATATTCATGGAATATATAATTCAGTTTTTCGTAAGAAATGGAGGCTTCACTGAAAAACACATATGCATTTAATTAATAAAATGGGTAAAGTTTGGATAAATAACTGAATAATTTTACTGAATAAATTAAATTAATAAAATGGATAAGGGTTCGAATAAATGACTGAACATTTATTGAATAAATTAATTAATAAAATGGAATGGATAAAGTTCGGATAAATAATTGAATTACTAATGAATAAATTAATTAATAAAATAGATAAAGTTCACTCAACATTTATTATTAATTTTAATGAAATGGACAAAGTTCGGATAATAAACATTTGTTATTAATGTTAATGAAAAATCACGGAAAGATTACAGGTGAAAAGATGGACTTTTCCCACTATTGCAAATTTTCATGATAGTGAGTGTTTCTGCAATTAAAATTCAAATAATGTATTATTTTTTTTATGGGGAATATATTCAATTCTTTTTTGTTTAATTAAACAGTATAGTTTAATTGTCTGTTTGGTTATCAGAGTGGAATAGAGGATTTGGTATTAGGCAAAGGTTTGATTTTGGTTTTTGTTACCTGTAAATATTTTTGTTTAACTTTTGATAATTGTTTAAGTGCAAACGTAAGGTATTATGACCAATTGGCAAAAGTTGTGTTAAAAGTAATTGTTGTAAATTACAACTGACTTTAATTGGTAAAAGCAAAGTAAAATTAAAGTGAAATTTAAATAGAAACTGTATAGGAGGTTTTATTGCTTTTGTTATAATTTGTTATTATTTTCGCCATAAAATAGATTCACCGAAGATTTACAGGTACAAGTAAAAAGCAGCAAGAACAAGAACAAGTAAATATTTTATTTGATTGACAAACGTGTGCATTAATTATTTATGTATGGAACCCTATTGGTTTTTTTTGTTGATGCGAATTGATTGATTTTTTTTTCTTGGAAAAACAATTTATTTTTTAAAGATGACAAAACGTGAGTCTCCTAAAGAATACATGTTAATAACCAACCAGATGTACTTTATTTAAGTTTGCATTGTGTTTTTTGGTTGGTTATTATAAATATTTTAATTGACAATCAAAACGTGGGCAGATCATTGCCGAGTAATTATAAGATTTTTATCAAGATTGTGTATTTTGTTTTACGTAATCATTATAAATCTTAATATCAAATAATAATAATAAATAATTGCAAGATGTTAAGGCAAGCATTGACTATTGAAAAAGAAACATTTCGATATGTGATGTTTGATTATTGGAAATTGGCAGACGTTGAAGCATGCACGCTACCTTGAACACATTTACAGATATTTACACATTCCTTGTGTACACAAGGCTAATCTTGACCTGGCGACCTGAAGATATGATGATGCAATTGAATTCCAGAAGGCGCGTGGATCTGGAGTTTACCAGGACTGCATCAATTGTCAATGACGCTTTCACTAATCTTCCCAGAACAGTGAAGGTTGCTGGCACGCTAGCCGAAAAGTTGCTTGTAATGATCCTACCTCTAGGGTAAGGGTGGCTCTGTGACCAAGCTGTTGCAACTCTGTTGATGAATTATAGTGCCATGTAAACATCCAGATCCACCAAAGCAATAAGAATCTGCAACTTGTTTCAACAGGAGGTTGTAATTCAGAGCAGGGTTGGTGACCCAGCGATTGCATTTGGGCTCTATTGTTAAGAGGAAAGTTGTAAAATAGTGTTTTTGTTTTGTATAATCATTTTCATAAATTCTCTGTTTTTTGATACTGACCAATTTTATAATTTTGGGTAGAGGACTGAATGGGTTTTTGCCTAATCACTACCCTGTCCTATAAATTAAAATTATTACATGATTATATATATCTTTGTCGGCAATATAGCCAACAAGAAAAAAGCATAAAATGGTTTGGGTTTTGTATGTTATGTTATAAATTAATCATTCACATAAATTTTCTGTTTCTTTTGATTTTTATTGACCAACTGAACTTGTTATTTTTTAAATGGGGGCTTTTGCCCATATAATCTACCCTAGGATAAAAGAGTGTAGCTCAATGAGAGCATGTATCTCACAAGTATAAATATGGCAGTTCGATTCTACCCACTCCTATTGTGAGAGTCACCATAATCACTGGCATCAAGGAGAATGCTGTAAATAAAATGGTTCAGATTTGCTTGGTATGTTATAAATTAATCATTTCATATTTCTGTTTTTCTTTAATTCTTATTTGACCAACTGAACTTGTTGTTTAAATGGGGGTAGGGTTGTTTATGACATTGACAAGACAGCAACCCAGGAATCAAAACTGAATTCAGGGAAAATCCAAGTCAGCAACCTAGGTTGCAACCTCCTGAATTGGAGAATTTTCAGTCAGTTACAGACACAGACTTTATTTTAGAGTGGTATAACACAAAGCAGCATACACAAACACCAGCTATCAGCAATCAATGCCCATATGGTAACAGCCAAGCCTGGTCTGGGAGGAAGATAGGAAGTTTTGTCCAAAACCTTCCAACATGTTCAAGTCCTTTCTTCTGTGAAAAAAATTTCTACAGTGTTGACTGATGTTTAATTACATAGGCGCTTGCATGTTGGTGACAGGAAAATTTTAATTAATCTGACGCCTGTGATCAACATCAGATTTATTATTCATAAGGAACCATAACTGATAATCAGGGAAAATAATTTATTATTGTGAACCTCAGAGACCTGGATAGACAGGCATTATTAAAATTTTCATTTATGCATGGTCTTGGTGTTATTATTACCTGGGTGACGAAATTGTTTTGTTATGTCAATGATGATATCAAATGTATTGTATAATGATCATGACCATCATGAATATTTGATGGATGATTAAATTGCTAAGTCATGTTTTTTTTATTAAAGACATATAATTAATTATATTTAAAATATACAATAAAATAATCGCAAGACTGCACCACTATGTATGTCAATCAAGCTACCAAACTGTTATGTTTGTGTATGATTTAAAATTCTTTTGTGCTAATTTAAGGTCCCATCTTTCTTTACTTATATATAATCCATTGGTTCTTTTTTTACTGGTCGAATGATGCCAAATTGGGTAATGAGGTGTCAATCAGATTTCAGAATCTGATCTGACCAATATTCTTTAAAAAAATAATTAAGGTGTTGGCATACCGATAAGCTAATAATATCCTTAGTATTTTTATCATATAGTCTAAAGGCTTATTAGTAAGTAGGTAAAATGAAGCCATATCCACATTATCGGCTAAATGCAAAAGAATGAAGAGTAAATGTAAAATACAACTAAATTGATCTTACTACCTATTGAAGCCTTTGGATCATTGTAACTTAGTAAATTATCATATCATAATTGTCGTATATTTGCTTTAGTATTCTTGATTTTATTATTGTTACTATATTTAAAAAATATAATAATTTATTAAAAGATAATTTAACAGTTGGTTTATAATGAGTAGACGTAAGAATTGTTTATTATTTTTTGATTTTTTATTTTAATATCAGTTTCCGCTTAACTTTTTTTGACGAATAAATATTTTTCAGAAAAAATTTTTTTCAATTAACCGGTTAAGGTTTTTTGGTCGGTTCCGACATCTCCTCTACTACTACTATAGTGCAAGTCACTTAGTCGCTGAACTTTTTATTGGCTGTGTAGATCCTATATCCTCTCCAAAAATGGAAATGTATGACCAAAAAAACAAATCATAGAATTAAAGCTAAGACCTTTCTCTACAATTCTATGATTTCATTTTGTTGATATGCCATGTTACCATGGAGGAGTGACACATTAAAGTTCTCAAAGTTTCACGAGTTTACTATGTTAACCCCCAAAAATGACGTGTTACACGCAAATTTTTTATATTAAAAATGAACGAATTGGAAAAATTGAAATTTTCAAAATTTTGTACAGCCGATCTTTCATCACGTGATAATAATAATAATGAGTGGAAAACGAGTTTACAAGAGAATGCAATCACTTTAATCAAGATAATAGTCTATTTGAAACATATAAACAGGACAATTGTCCCATATTTTTTGTAACACCAACATAGAAACATTCTCTTGGGCCAGTTTCGAATTAGTTTCAAATCTAAAACTGTCAAATTCAAAATTACAATCAATTGAATTTCTTGCCAAAAATTAACTTTTTATTATTTAGAGATCACAACATCTAAAACTGTCCAAATGCTGAGAAAAAAGGTTCAAATTTCCATAGTTACAATCCCTTATTACTTAAATAAGAGAGTAGCTGTAGCAGTGCTTGATAATGAAAAAAATGAAGATAAATGATGCTGATGAAAAGAAGTAATTGGATTAATCCATTTACTATTTTCTTTATACATAATATTGTTAGTTTCAAGTATTTTTAATATAATGGAATAATTAATATATTTGGATAAAATCTGTATTTGACGATCTTTGAAAGCACGTGATCGTAAAAATTTTATTGCATTTTTGATTGTAAATTTTTTTCTCAAAATTGTCGTTGTAGCACAAAAAGTTCAGTGACTAAGTGACTTGCACCATATTTAAAATTTTTTTAGATCCTTTTTTAACGATGAGAAAAAAATAATTAAAATTACAACTTGTTATTAACCCTACATTCATTATATAATCAAAAAACATCTCCTTAAGCATACCAAATAACAATCTGATAGTTTTTGACTTGTCATATAGATATTTTCTTCTTTTACATCTTTTTTCAAGAATAGGTACCTCTATATTTCTTATTGTAATATTCAACCTTTACTCAGGCACGAGGACTTTTGCGACCTTGTCTCCAATTGAATATTCCTTTGATTTTACTGTGTTTATCAGCACATAATGGCCTGTGAGGAAACTCCAATGAATACACAAAAGCTATGTTCCATTTTTCAAAATTAGATAATTTTTGCAGCTATCAAGTTTGACATGTATTATTATCATTATAGCACAAATAGAAAACGCGTGTAAACATTGCATTTTTCCTCATTATTATTATATAAATTATAGAAAAAGATTCTTAAAATAAACGAAAAAATTTCTCGCGATAAGTTGTGGTTCAGATAACAAAAGCTTAAAATATTTTTTGTTTAAATTGAAACAGATTATCCATGTAAATAATCATGCATAGAAACATTAATAATGATAGCAAATATATCACTGATGTTAAATTAAACATTACTCGCGTTTTTTCATTATTAACCTTCTAATAAATGATTTCACAAAATGATAACTTAACATGTTTCAATTTGATATAATTCTTTTAATATTACTACACCATCTTCAAGATTATTCATATTGATAAACGGTTTATTATTTTTCTGATTTCATCATTTTTCAATGGTATGCAAGATTGAATTTGATTTTTCGTTCAAGACTTTTAAAGGCCCAGATGTATACCGACTTTACTCGAAAAAATCATCACTCTCTTTCTTTTTCTTTTGTGGTCATGTTCTAAGTATTTAATCTAGTTCTCAATTGTCTATGCCCAAAGGTTAATATGCTAAAAAAAAATGGTGGTCATCATTCTAGTCTCACAAAAAATTTCACGAAAAAGGCACACAGCGCATTATATAAAATCTTGTTATTATATTTCAAAATTTTAATCAATTCAAGAAATATCAATAATACAATAATTTTAACACCATTAAATCATGGAACAATAGTTCCATAAGAGCATCATCATTATTTTCAACCGGTCCGAATAACCACCAGGAATGTGTGATTTACTATTACTAATAAACAATCATTCGGAGGGGGAAGGTCCTATCTACAATCCCCGGTTAAAACATTGCAATTTACTTGCAAATATTTATAATAATGGAAAATAATAAACTTCCACAAATATTATATATATATATATTAAGGTTGACACCTAATCAACCTTATAGACAATTAAATACTGCGGAATACAAGCTTTCTCTTTATAAACCACAACTTCATCATAGTTTAAATTCCCCATTAAATTAGGTTCGCCCAAAACAGAATTGTACCCATGCGGAGGCTTATTTAACTTGTCATTGTTGAATATGAGTTGACGCCCATTACCCACTACTACTTTATTCAATAGCATTGTTTTATACTTGGCACCATTGAAGCTCTTCTGAGACCCAAAATTGTAGTCGTCTGATTTAGAAGATGTGGCAGAGAAATAAATACCATTGCCAAATCGTTTGAATCCATTGCTTTTTTTAATAAATTTCAGCTTGTAGCCTTTTCTTATTATGCAACAGGTCGAACACTCTGAATCATCGCACACAACTCCATCATCTGAGATCCCAATTAAACATTGTCTGTTATTATCAATAATAAAGAAGAATTTTATCGATTAGAAAATGTAGAATTTGTACAAGTAATTGCAAACTTAAAAATTTGGACAATTGCATCTTTTCGAACAAATTCCGGGACAAGAACTTTTCCTAGTGCTAGGGTAGATACATACGTGCCAGTTCCATGAAATCTTAATCGTTCATTTCCAGCACTCATTTTGCTATTATCTTCCGGAGATACTTGTCCTTCTAATTGGTGTTTCTTTTCAACTTTGTCACGATATGTATTATATCTATTGACCATAAATCCACTACAGCAGATCGCATGTATAGATGATATTTCTGGTGATTTTTTGTCAGGGTGTTTCCATCCTAATAGGAACTGCATTCCTATTTTATTGTATTTCTCACTTGTTTCTGATAACTTTAACAAACAAGGGGCTAAAAACAATAAAAATTTTATGTATAGGTATTTGTAAATACTTTTTAAAAAAAAAAAATAAAAATAAAAATAAAATTTGTAGTCTACCATTCTGTTTAACCCAGTTTTTACACTTTTTCGAGCAAAAATCTTCCTCGGTCGAAACGGTCTTTGCGTCACATCGTAGACACGTTGGTGTATATACAGTTGACTGTCTTCGACGCAATGGTGTAGATGGTGAATATGGAATCGGTGTTGATGAATAATAGTCTGAATATGTTTCAGAAGTTGGTATTGGTGATGGCGGATAAGTTGGTGGCGAATAATAGTCTAATGATGAATTTGGACCCGTGTATGGTGTAGGATCTACCCATGATGATGAATATGTTTTAGAAGTTGGCTTTGGTGATGGCGGCGAATAATAGTCTGAATATGGTGTGCGTCTTGGTGGTGGATATTGATTAGAAGTTGGCTTTGGTGATGGCGGATAAGTTAATGGCGAATAATTGTCTGATGATGAATATGTTTTAGAAGTTGGCTTTGGTGATGGCGGATAATATTCTGAATATGGTGCTTGTCTTGGTGGTGGTGGGTAAAAGTCTGATGGTGTATGTTGATTAGAAGTTGGCTTTGGTGATGGCCGATAAGTTAGTGACGAATAATAGTCTGATGATAGATATGGCGATGATGAATATGATGTAGGAGTTCGCCATGATGGTGGCGAATAATAATCTGATGATGAATATGTTTTAGAAGTTGGCTCTGGTGGTGGAGAATAATAGTTTGATGATGATGAATAATCGTCATCTAAGGGATTATTGTAATAACGGTCTGATGGTGAATAATCGTTATAATTCTTATAATAATCTGGCAACGAATGTTGATGATATGACATGTCTGTAAGGATATTGTAGCTACAAGACTTGAACGAATTTATTTATATTTTTGGAAAACAAGTTAGAATTGACAGTTGATTTTCTAATTCTCTAATCAGAAGGATAATATACAAATTATTTCAATATATTCAAGATAGAAAATGTGATTATAATGATAAGAGAGGAACAAATGAGTGTGTATTTTTAAGTTGGAGTAAAACTTTTATATAGGCCCGGCCTTTGATTTAATATTTTATGAATTTTATGAATATATTAAAAAATCTAAACAATCATATAAAAAAAAATTTTTCTTAATTAATAACCTTTTTTTATGCTAACACAAGTACATCCATAATTTACATTCAAAAATGAATTTAATATAAACAAAGATGTACGTAATTTAGACATTCAAAAATAAGAATCGTTCTGTCATAGTATAAGGGTTACGAGTAAAAATTAATTAATGACCGATTAAGGCCAAGTAATTCGGCTGCTTCATATCATCACCATCTATCTATGGTACCTTTATCTCCCTCGCCATTATTAAAACTTGTAGACCTTGAAAGCATTGATGACCACAGATTAATTAATATACAACCAATCACAATTCTTATTATCACAGAAAGTATTAAGAATTTCAGTGGATAGCGGGCGAATCGTAATATATATAATGATTTGTTTACATTATTTATTGGTAAAAAAGATGTACAATAAAACTATTTATAGCAGTAATTTTTATCGTGCGTGATTTTACAAAACTTTAATATTTTTTTAAAAAATGACATTCATAAGTTTATCAAGAACTGATTTCCTCCATTAACTAGTATTAGACAAGATTTATCGCCTTTGAGAGTTTCTAATGTAAATACGTTTAGGTAGGTATACGATGATTTTTTGGTGAATAATTTTTATTGAATTCATATAATTTATAGATGTATTTATGATAATGATGGAAACTTTGGTCAAACAATGCCATAATGTTATGCTTCATTCCTATTCTCTTTAAACACACTCACTGAAGAAGAAGAAATGCTTCGTGATTCAGGTAAATAAAAAAATAAATATTTTTAATGGTCAACAAAAATTACTGAACAAACATATTCAGATCAAAATTAATAATTAATGATTGATATATATAATAAAAACACAATCATTTTTTGAAGAATCTTGAAAAAAAATTTACCATTTCCAAAATATTTATAATTACCAATAAATTGGGATCTCTCTGATGGGTTTTAGTCGCGCGATTTGCACAAGAGAAAATATTGCCAAAAGTAAAAGAAATGGATACAATTGATCCGTCGGTCTTTTTGAACAAGGAGTATGTTATCTTAGAATCGAACATTATCATTACTACTAAAACAATTTTTTATTTTAAATAACAAAAAAATTTATTAATAATAATAAAATATGTTTAGCTTATGGGAATTGAAACAGAATCTAGATATGGTGGTGCTAAGTGTTCCCTTTTAGTTGCTGTCTTGGCTATTGAAGGTTATTATTATAATTATAAATATTATGATTATTAATGTTATTTCTATTAAAATTACAAATTACAAGTTTATAATCCAATTATTGATTCATAGAATTGGCTAAAGTTGATCCTTCTGTCAGTGTAGCTTGTGAAACTCAGGTTATTTAGATAAATTATTTTAAAATTAATCAACAACCATTGCTGTTGTAATTAACATGATGAGTATTATTTTATTTATTAGAATACACTTGTCAACACATTGTTTCATAAATATGCCAATGAAAACTTAAAAGCAAAATACTTACCACAACTTGCAACTGAAAAGGCACTTTTACCAATAATGATAATGATTAAATGAATTAAATAAAAAATTCATTTATTTTCTTTCCAAAAACAAATTTTTATTATTGAAAGGTTGGATCTTTCTGCCTTTCAGAATCTGGTGCTGGCAGTGATGCATTTGCTATGAAATCATGTGCTGAGAAAAAGGCTGGGTACTATATTCTTAATGGATCAAAATATGGATTACAAATTCAAAGGAGACTGAAATATTTTTAGTTTTTGCAAATTAGGTGAATATATATAATATATTTTAATAATTAGCTCTAATTTATATTTATTATTTAAATATTTTGAATTTTTTTTTACAAAAATGAAAACTCAAGATCCATCCAAGGGTTATAAAGGCATCACCCGTTTTGTTGTAGAAAAAGAAATGGGTGTTAAAATCGCAAAGAAAGAATATAAAGTTTGTGTTATTTAATTTCTCACTACATTTGTATATTTTATTAAAACATATTATCGTAAATTTTTTTGTAGCTTGGCATTAGAGCCTCTTCAACTTGTACAGTAAATTTTGATGGAGTCAAGATATTGAACATGTGTTAGGTGATTTATAATTTATTATGTATGTGTGTATATATACGATATATATATTATTAGGTGAAATAGGAAAAGGTGTGTATAATATACAAATAAATAAATGTGCATGTGCATATATGATGTGGTGTGAATATTAAATATAATAATTTATTATTATTATAATAAATATTCAAGGCTATAAATATGCTATTGAGATATTGAATGAAGGACGTATTGGAATAGCAGCTCAAATGATAGGACTTGCACAAGGAGCATATGATCATGCATTACCTTATTTATTCCAAAGGGAACAATTTGGTCAATTTATTGGTGACTTTCAGGTAAAAAATACAGATAAAATTTTTTTTTTGATGTTAATAAATCACTATTGAAAATGTATATACTCTCTCTTGATCTTTAATAGGGAATGCAACTGCAATATGCACAAAGTTAGTATTACTTAACAAACATAACAATGACAATCTATCATTATTTAAATTATATAAATTTGTTATTAATTATAATGATATGGTGCATATACATATTTTTCATCTAGTTGCAACTGAAATTGAAGCCGCCAGATTATTGACATATAATGCAGCTAGAATTAAACAAGAAGGAAAAAGCTTTATTAAAGAAGCTGCAATGGCTAAATTATATTCTTCTCAAATAGCAGAAAAGGTTTATTTTTAAATGAAATTGTTTAATCTTTTACTATGGTGATGTCATGATAATATTATTTATGTTGATCAGGCTGCATCTAAATGTATCGAGTGGATGGGTGGTGTCGGATTTACTACAGAATTTCCAGGTAATTCAAAAAAAAAATTTTTTTGTTAAATGTAATAAAAAATTATTTAAATAATTTTTTTCTTTGTATATTATATATACTTATAGTCGAGAAGTATTACAGGGATGCAAAAATAGGTAAACACACAATATTTATTATTTTAATCATTCAATCATTCAATCATTTATTTATGTTAAACATTTGTTTTTAAAAGGTGCAATTTATGAGGGAACCTCAAACATTCAATTAATTACAATTGCTAAAGAAATTAAAAAAAAATATGCATCATAAAAGTATAATAAATTATTATTAAAATGTTTTTAATAAATGATAGGTATCCAGCTAATACTTTATTATTTTCTGTTTCTTGAATCTTTTTTCCATTTCCAAAATTGTTTCAACATTTCTTTTTCTTTCATATTCATCTTTAATATTAATAGAATAATAAATTTAGACAAATATATTTTTATGTATGTATATTCACTCTTATTTTTTCCAATTAAAAATAATATTTACCATTAAATAATCATCATCACTTTCATGATCATAACCAAGCAAATGTAGTACACCATGTACATATAACTCTATCAATCTCTTTTCAATATTAAGACATCTTTTAGTTTTCTTAAATGAATGACAAGTAGTATAATATTTATTATTTCTTTTACACCAATTGATTACATATGGTATTGAAATAATTAAATCTCCCAGATTTTGATGTTCTGGTGTCAATGGTTTAGGTAAGTTTCCTGGTGAAATTGCCTAAATTAATTAGTTATTTATTTGATTTGTTATTTAATTATGGTGACTTTATTTCTACTGTTAAAAAAAAATAACATTTTTAGATCAAACCTCATGTAAAGGAAATGATAAAATATCAGTTGATTGATTTTTATTCCTATATTTGAAATTTAATTTTTTGATATATTTATTATTTGTGAAAGTTACTCCTAAATCCCAATTAGAATAATTGGTAAATGATAAAATTTTCATCAACTTGATTGTTATTAGTTTCTTTGAAAGCTTTATATAAGATTGTGAATTATTTATTATGATTGACATGATTATGATAATAATGACGATTAATATGACAATTTACATGATAAAACGTTATATTGGAGCGCACCAAAGATATAAGATACTATTGTTCTTATCAACTCCACTTTAATAAAGGCATGTATTAAAGTAATGAACAATTTATGTGTTTCTATTGTTTCCGTAATAAGCTATGATCTACATGTCAGCTGAAAATTTTCTTAAATGCACAATGCTTTATTTTTAGTAACAAGTCTAATAAAAACACAAATAAACCAGGGACAATAGATTGGGAAAACACATGGCACAACATATTTAATAGCAAGAAATTTACAAAAAGTAATAGAATTTTTAATTCAGTATATGACAGAAGCTACAAAATCAAATTATTAATGAACGAACTTCCAGTGCTTGAAACACTACACAAGAGAAATCCAAAACTATACACAGACAGTATGTGCCCTAGGTGCCTAGAAGTAAAGAAGACCAAATACACATTTGGACTTGTAGTGCAAACAAAACTTCTGTGATGGAAATAAGTTGCTTTGTAATACATTTAATGTTAAAAAAAAAATGTAGTAACAATAATAAAGAAACAATAAATTATCAAGCCCTCAAAACAAGATTATTAAATCTGCCATATTTTAATCATAACAATGAAGCATGTACACTTGTGCTGCTGAGAGGATTTATACCAAGTGAAATTCAAACATGCTTAGAAGAACAGAAAATACCTAAAAACAAAATAAGCAAATTAACAAGAAGCCTATGTAAAAAGATAGTGGGAAAATCCAAGAAAAGATATGGAAAGTGAGGTGTGATAGCATCATACAACGGAAAAAGGAAACAGGAATTACAATGGAGCAGAAAGTGGAAAGGTTTAACAGTAATAATAATAAGAATAACAGTAGAAATAGTAGTAATAATAGATCTATTAATAGATACAATAATGAGGATAACAACAACAACACTAATAATAATACTAGTACTAGAAGTAGGAACTATAGTAATAGTAGCAATAGAAATAGAAGTGAAATTGTAACAAATTATTATGTAAACATATGTACTGAAAACCTAATTTTATTTAATAAAAGAGTGGAATTGAGCTATGGCGATGCCATGGATCAGTAGGTCTGGACCGCCATATCCATTCAAGGTGGCAGGTCACAGTTTTGGGTAGTGGGTCACACCACTATCCACGACTGAATCAAACATTGTACGATTAACCCATTCCAAGAATGGCATGATCATCATAAAATGTTTGGTCAGACCTCACTCAGCAAAAAAAAAAAAAGTAACAAGTTTAATAAATGAATTATGATAACGATTCAAACAAAATGAATGATTTGAATAATTCAAACAAAAATGTCACTAAATCTGGCACAATAATGTTCAAACTAAACTAAAATATACAACTACATTACTTGAGGCATCCCTACAAACAATATAGTAAAACTAATAATTAAATGTTGGCCAAACCATTAATCATCAAAAAGGGTTATGAATCAATCAATCATGCCAGATTTATCAATTAATGAAAATTGTTATTTTTATTACCAAAGTGTTATTATTGAAAAATCAATTATTTTTTAAATTTTTCACTAAAGGAAATTTCAAGCATATTTATACTTCTTGAAGTATTACAAATAACATGATTTTGCCCAATAAAATAAAATAAAATAGAATGATAAATGATGACTAATTGACAATTACTAAAGTTAAATGTCAAAAATGTGTCATTGATGATGTCATGATTAAATGATACCTGATGAAATGTTTTTGTCATAATTAATTAAAAATAAAATTTATCTTTCTTGAAAATATGATTAAACAGAAAAATATGGCAATGTAACTCTAAACACATCTATATTGCACCATTCCATTCAATTCATTAATGGCATAGAAGACTTTGATGAGCCTTTTTTTGAAGTCAACACAGCTTTAATAGGACAGGTTTCTAAATTATTTTTGCAGGAAAATCAATTAATTAGCTGAATAAATCCTGAACTAGATAAATATGTTTTTCCTTTTATTTATCAGATTAACTCACTTATTTAACCTATCAAAAAACTATACTATTGATCCAGATAAAGACTGGTGCTGTAAATTATGATGATGGTAGTAATTGTATTTACGGCATATAAAAAGTGGTTGCAATTACCTTTGCGACCACTTTTGCAACCATATTTTTTCCTTTTTTGGATTACAGCACTAGTCTTTAGATCCAGAATTAAAAGATCACAACAATCATGATTGTTATATTGTAGTCCTACATTAAACTAAAAACATCATCATCAAAATCCATCATCTTTAAATACTGTTAGTTTTCAAATCCATACTAAAAAATAAATAATTTATGAAAAGGAAGTAAAAAAGGAGTAGTATTTCTTTAAATGAAGCCTCATCAGAAGCTCAAGATGCTCAAAATCTTAATGATGAATCTAACTCATTACAGCAAGGATTACTTGCTCTTACCACTCCTCTCATCACTTTCCATGTCAATTTTCTTATTTAACAAGTGCATCAGTTTCACAGATCTTAGATGGTATTCAGAGGTTGCAAAAGAGAAGTAGTCGAATATCTGTTTACTAGGTACAGGAGCAAAGTATCATCCACCTAGTCTCCTCATCATGATATGTTTTCAGTATTTGTCAGATTTGTAATGTATTTCACAAAATCCTATGGACATCACATATTGAAAATTTATGTGACCATTCCATATCAGGGATGACCATGCTTTACATGGCAATAGACATTGAGTGAGCAATAGGATTTGTCTAATTGTGGCTGAGGGAACATGGTTCTCCATTTGATGGTTACAATGGTGTAATCTAATACTTCATGACCAAATTATACAATGTTTTTCTATGATGGAATGTCTGCATGAATTGCATTAAGTGAGATGTTTCTTTTTTCCATGTAGGTAAAGCTGTGCATCATTCCATGGTTTTGAAATTTATCATGTTTGAAGAAATGCCCTAATTCACCATCCAAAACTTGTTCTGTCATATTTCAGTAGTGTAGATAGATGTGCAATAGATGATTGCTTAGTATTGTGTTTCCATTTTATGCAAATGGATCCATTTGTCTTTGGCCATCATCAAGGTGCAGAAAATCCAAGGAAGGCTTTGAAAAAGGGAGACATAGTTATCAAATTTAAAGGTAGGGTTGTGACTTTTGACTTGTCCAAGATTTCATGGTTGGAATAAGAGCCTCTAACAATCAAGTCAGTTTGGGTTGGATGTCTCTCACAATTCATGTTTCTGGTTCTAATTTTGAAAATTTCTTCTTTTCTCAAGCATCAATGTGGCTAGTACCAACACAAGCAGAACCTAGCTATCTATTGAAGGTGGTATTTTTTAATGTACTCATAGTATCCTTTCCTATTGGGGTAATCATCAAAGATTCCATGTCAGGGTTTCCAAATAAGATCAGAAGTTTAACATTGTTTGATTCAACAAAACTCACAATCAGTATATTGTAGTTTGTGTCAGTTGGCTTTTTTATTTGATAATTTAGGTATGATTTTTATTATATTTAAATTATTCAGATACATGTATTAAATTTTAAGATTTCTAATATATATTAATAAATTATTTATATATTATATATATTATATATATTATATGGGGCATGCTGCAACAAAACCAGACAAAGTGAACATTGGTATTACCAAAAATTTCAGGGATCAATAATGTTTAACATCACAATTGTATTACAATGTAATATGATCACGATATTTCATTTTGTCTCTAGATAAAATAGTTAATATGAAACTCATTTACATCCGATCTACTATGGAACCCAAGAATTATAGCACCATCAGAAGTATTTTGAAAAAGGAACAAGGTGAAAAAATTGCTCCTTACATTTTCAAAATGAATGATACTCAGACACTGGAAGCTTATCTAAGGAAAGAAAAAATCACCTATGAAATTTACCAAGAAGAAAGAAAAATAATAAGTATTAGAAAAAGAAAACATCATGATGATGCATTATTACCCAACAAAAAGCCAAGATCTCTAGAAGAAAAATAATAGGAACAAATTTATTATCTATTTTATCTATTTTATCTTTTCCTTTTTGGCATTTTCTCAATGAGTAACTAGATTTCTAAAACCAATACTAATGTCCCATTCTAGCCATGATTTAAAGAGTTCTCTTTCATGATTGAACACTGATTTTTTTTTTTTTTTTTGTAAAACACTTTATAAAAAAGTTAGTTTAAATAAAAAAATCATGACCAAAAAAGAATGTTTTAACTGTAATCAAACTAAAGAAGGATTAGAAATTAATTGATGAGATGAAGAAGATAGAGAACATAAAGAATTCTGTTGTTGAGATTGTTCTGAAAACATAATTCAAAAAGAATTAGATGAATGTGCAAAATGAGAACGCAATAAGAAAAAGATCTTTCGAGAAACCTTAACTAAAGTTAAAAATAAAGAAAATTTTGATTGACCTTTTAAGTACAGAGTTATTAACCAAAAAGGGGATGGGAGATGAAACAGAATTATCATATGTTGTAATCAGTGTAAGATCATATTGGACTGAGATGTTACTGCTTATGAAGACAGTAGAGGACATAAATGTTCTCAATGTCGTAATTCCAAGAAGATATTAAAAGAGGTGAACAAGATAAGCATTTTTCCTGAAAAGATGACAACACTCCCAGTTACATTTGTCCCAAAAGCACAGCAAAGGGTGAAATAGTTTGTCATATGTGTGACAAAATGGTAACACATAAAAAAGGAATGCTTAAAACTTGAATCTCTGATTTTGGAGGCACCATAACCTCTGGAGTAGTTTTAAGACAAAATTCTAAAGGTCATGCAGCACTGTGCACCAAACGCCATGCAGAAAACTTCAAAGAAATAACTAGAGAAGAATGAGCAGATATTTTACCAGTACTTAAAGATACAATTAATAAAATCAATAAAGCATATAATCCAATAGGCTATAAAGTAAGTGTACCAATAGGGCCGCTTGCTTCCCAAAACCCACCCCATTTTTATATGCGAATTGTTCCTAAATATAAAGAAGCTTATGGAAGCAGGGGAATTAAGGAGTATCATGAAAAGCTTTTTCTCAGGAGGGCACTGAACAAGCAAATACAATCTTTCAACCAACAGAAGATAATATTGTTCCAGAAAAGAGCAAAGTATCTGCAAGATTACACAATGAAATAGGAGGTATAGTTGTCTTCACCAAAAATCATTTACCTAATGATATCAATGCTGTAGATCAAGAAACTTGAGATCAAATTGGTGAAGTTTGTCAAGAACTTATACAAAAAATGGCATCTGCTGAAAATTTTACTACTGATGCCGTAATAAGATGAGAAATTAACCAAAGAGCTGCAGAAATTTTGATAAAAGAATCAGAAATGCCCTTCAAGTTATAGTAAAAATTATCCCTCATCTGAATTTTCAGTATACTTCGCTCCTAGATTCAAGAAAATTTTGAAGACATTACAGGCCTGTAAAAGACAATCAATTTCTAGGTACTATGGAAGATGAAAGAATGGCTGAAAAAATAAGAGACCCGGAAGCCTACTATCAAAAATGGGGTAAAACTCCCCGAACTCAATTAGAAAACCAACTTAATAAGAATAAAAGAGAGAAAGTTTACTGAATGGTTGGTTGTGGAATACTATTTGTCTCCCTAGTTGTTTTAGTTATCAAAATAATTAAAATTAGGAAAAATAAAAGTTAATTATGACATCTAACCTTTTTTATCTAGTATAAAAATTATTCAATTACATTTTATGCTGGCTTGGGACAAGTGATGTCTTTAAACTCATCCTTTACAAATGGGTGAATGTTATTATAAAGGTATTCTTGTCTTTTATAGTCCAAAGGAGGAGGTGTTAACACTAAAATAGATAAAGCTTTAATCTCTTCAAAAATATCTGCTTTCTTGATTTTCAATAAATTGAATTCAGTAAAAGGTCCATTAGCAACTTCTTGAACTTTCACTGTACCAAAATTAGATGCTTCAAAAAGAAAATGTTGATATTTCTGTATACTTGGTAATTTCTTAAAATAAATTCCCAAAATTGCTTTAATATCTAAGTACTGAAAACCTTTTCCACCTTTGTAATGTTGAGCCTTATTCAATCCTGCTGGACTAGACTTTTTTATTACCTCAACCACATGATCTAGACAATCCACTCTTGTTATTCTATAGAGTTTTTTAATCATCCCAAAATTATTATATATACAACGTTATTACAGGAGAGACTGTTCTGGTAACACAAAATTTTAACAATTGTTGATTGATTGACCAATTAAAATCGTGAATTTAAAAATAAACATTTAATGTGGGTTTGATTCATTTTGTCAACAATCACTTCACGAACAATTGTTTAATTAAATGGTTCGAATTTAGAAGCTGGAAGCAACCATTTGAAATAGTCTAATAAATTAAATCGTACTACTCGAAAATGTATTTAAAGGGTTGGTTGAAGAATAACTCTCTTCCTAACCCTTCTCTTGACCATATCTCTCGATATAATCAAAATAACCTTAATATAACGAACGTCAATGATTGTAAACGCAACCAATTTAAGATATACGATCAAGAGGAAACACGAACGATGTATGAAAAAATCAAACAAATTATTTAATATTAATAAATCAAAATTTACAACTCAAAAAATTTTTTTTTTGCATGTAATAAAATTCCATTATTGACTTTTAACAATCTAATTATATAGATCTTGACCGATCAAACCTACCTATATAGTTATTGAATAATTGATAATAATAAAACGTTAATTAAATATATTTTACAAACAGCTTCATAGATCTCGACTTTAAGACTTACTTTGATCAAACCCACCTATAATAATAAACATTCATTTTGGAAACTTGATTTGCAAATAGATCTTGACTTTAACACACTTACTTATACCAAGTCCGCCTATATAATTATTTGAATAATTGATAAAGTGAAATTACCCGAGGGTTGAAAAGACCAACAACAACGATGATAAGAAATCCCCACGCAAAGCATTAAAATCCAAACATCCGGATTTTGAGGAACAATCCATGAGTTCCAACAGCAGGAGAAAGGCCACAAATCACATCAGGGAGTCGGGTAAAAAAAGAAGAAGTGCAGCCCATGACCCAAAGGAAGAATCAAGCACATCAAGGGCAACGAAACTGACACATACAATGAACGAAGTTGTCAGCAACAATAAAGGTTATACGGATGCACTAGAAAATTCGTACAACATTGAAAATGATGACGGTGATGAGAGTTGTGACACTGAATAATTTTTATTATTCTTTGTATTTTTTTCATTCCTATTTGTATTTTTTTTTCTGAAAAATAAAAAAAAAAAACAAAGATTTTTCGGTTTCAATTGCAATTTCAATGCATTGCTTTACGATTCAATTCAACGCAACTCAATTTAAATGCAATTGCAACCTGCTTTATAAAACAAAACATTTGCCGTATATACGACACAATTTTTGCTAAATATGGTGAAAACGTTGATCGCGCCAAGACCAAGTGCAAAAGGAGACAATCGGTGAGAAAACTGCACGGAAGTCGCACGACTTGCGAGTTTTGGAAGGAGATCGTGACACGGCAAATGTTAAATCTTTTTTTTGTGTTAATTAGTAAAATTTTTTTATTATTTCATAATTTAAGAAAAGCATTCATTATTTTTTATCGTTATCTTGATTAGCACCAGTAAATATTTTATTTTTAAATTGAGTTTAATTGTAGTTGTTACGTTCTAAGAATTTTTTTTAATGTTAATATTTGGTTAGCGCGACGAAGATCATATAAAATAACGAATAATTCAAATAGAAACCCTAGCCTAAAGTACTATTAATTTATTAATTATTTCAATGTTAGTAAATACAAAAAATCATTCACAACCTGAATCGTAAATTAAATTATGTTATTTGTGTAGTTTTGTGATCGATTTTATGATTCAGTAGTGTTCAAGGTAGCATGAGTGTTTCAATGTCTCTTCTGCAACAGTCAGTAGTGCTGCCTTGATATCTTGTAATTATAATATTATAATTATATCTTAATAATGATTACGAAAAGAAAAATACCAATCGTTTGTTATTGATAAGGATCTTATAATTACCCCAGCAAGATCTGCTCTGCGTTTTGATTCCAATTAAATATTTATAATAACTAAAAGACATCAATACAAATAAAAAATAGTACCTCTATTATTAACACTTCTTTAGGAGATTCGCGTTTTGTCATCTTGGGCTCTGTCAAAAAATAAAACAATTCGCATTTGGGACTGTCTACAGCAAAAACCACCTCCGAGCTCTTTTGACCAAATTTGTGTTTTTTACATAATACCATCCTGTGACATGTAGATTATAACTTGTGAAGATATCAGACCCTGTTTTCTTAATAAAAACATGGGAAATTGTAGGCCGGATATTTTTTTAAAGTAATTTGCGTGTAGAATGAAATTGATCTACATACCCCATTTTTTATTGTTACACGTGATAATTTAAATAATAATAAATTGGCATATCTGAAATGTTAAATTTAAATATGTATGAGTGTGTATATATATATTTTAATTATTTTCAAGAGGAATAGCCTCATATAAAGTTAATTTGGAATTTATTTTGTGAATTATTTTTATTATATTTACTTTATTCTAATAAAATTATATGGGCAGGATACTGCCTTTATTAAAAAAAAAATAATAATAAATAACAGATCAAAATTAATAAGTACTAGGCTCTGGACAAAGAATATCTTTAAGTGGATCTTCTACATGTTGACAAATTTTTGTATACAGATATCTTTTTCTATCATCTGTTAATGGAGCAGCCTCAAGAATATTTAATTGGTCATCCTTATTAAAGTCATTATTCTTTAAAAGTTTAAAAGGAATTTTTGAGTCACCAGATTTTTTAGAAACATAAACTTTTCCAATATCATCACCATTACTACTAAAATGAAAATGATGGTATTTTGTTATATTTGGCAAATTTCTAAAATTATCTTTGAATAATGTGTTAAAGTTATACCATCTCCAACCTACACCATTTTTATATCTAAGAGATTTATTATTATTTTCTATTGTTGAATCATTTATAGCCTCTTCAACATGATCAACAGTATTAATACATCTATTTCTATATACTTTTTTGATTGATCCAAAAAATCCATCACAAATAAATTTAGTATGTCCAGGGATCATAAAATTTATATAGATATTTTCATACCAACCCAACATTATTAACCATGACCAAAACCAGAGTGATAAGTTATTTTTATTTTGTCCTGAACAATTATCACATGTCACATATAGATCTTTTTCACCACCACGAATCTTTTGAAGAAAATCAAAAACCATATTCAAAGTTGTATTTCTTTTTCACCACCACCATGAATCTTTTGAAGAAAATCAAAAACCATATTCAAAGTTGTATTTGCCCCTTTTGATATTCCTTCTGGTAATTCATCTTCCCCTATTGTATAATTTAGCTGAAAATTATCTCCATTATCTCTTTGAGTACATATACCAAAGATATTTATTTTAAAAGGAATTTTAAAATAAATTGAGCCAACTTGTAGAGGTGAATATGGTGCAGCAACACTTTGAGCCCAATCATAACAGATGTGAGTTAATGTTGGATTATTTTTACATTTTTTTCTAACATTATTATAATGTTGTCTTTCACAATCTGCAGCTGCAAGATGTTCATCAAACTTGAATTGCATGTCAATCTCTTCATCCTCCTCATTTAATGATTTAAATTTAAATAATTTTAATCTAAAAGTTTCACAATTTTCACATAGATCATTTGAAGAATTTAAAAACTTAATGTGTGGTGTTAATTGAGTCCAGAGTTTGTGAAAAGTTTTATACTTTATATTTAGTATAGATGTGTCAACAAGACTATCTTCAAAACATTTTTCATATTCATGAAAAATTGAACTATAACTGTTTTGAGTTCCTAGATAAATATATGGGTCTGAATTATCACGAAGTCTCATTGGAGATGGCAATCCATGTAAATCAGCATAGTTTAGTATAAAATTTTTCACACTTTCTGCTACTTACAAAGATGCGGTAATGAAAAAGCATAATATAAAACTTGGATTCCTTCCTCCATTTGTAAAGGCATCTGTTGTAGCACTTCAAGAGATTCCTTCTGTCAATGCTTCTATTGATGGTGATAGCATTATCTATAGAGATTATGTTGATGTTAGCGTTGCTGTAGCTACACCAAAAGGTCTTGTAACTCCAGTTGTTAGAAATGCACATTTGTTATCTTTTATTGAAATTGAAAAGGCGATTGCTGAATTGGGTGTAAAGGTTAGTTGGAGTCATTATTTTTATGTTTTTTATTATGGAATTATATTGCTCGATTATTTTGCTTATTATTATTTTTATTTGTATTTATAAAAAATTATAGGCTAGAGAGGGAAAAATTACTATCGAAGATATGACAGGTGGAACATTTACTATATCTAATGGCGGTGTTTATGGATCGTTATTTGGCACTCCAATCATCAATCTTCCACAAAGTGCAATTCTTGGTATGCATGTTACAAAAGAACGCCCTGTTGCTATAAATGGAAAGGTAGGTGTTTAATAAACCTTCTTAAATAGAAACGTAAAAAGTTATAATGGTTAAAGATAATGATTTTATGGATATAGATTGAGATTCGTCCTATGATGTATGTTGCCTTGACTTATGATCATCGATTGATTGATGGACGTGAGGCTGTTACATTCTTGAAGACAATTAAGGAACAAGTGGAAGATCCTCGACGTTTATTATTGGATGTTTAAATTATGATGGTCGGTACTTTTTATAATTTTTTATATAATATTATTTAAATTTGATATTTTTTTAAAAAATGGGTTTTTTTATCCTAGGAGCAGTTGGAAAGAGATTTTGTTTGTAGATATGTATATTAAAATTTCATAAAAAATTATATTTATTTGAATACAATTTTTTTTATATTTTTAAAAAAAAATGCATAATTATTCCATTATTATATATGATTCTTAAAAAATAAATTTATATTGTCAAAATATCGATCCACATGGTTTTACAAGTATTGTTTGGCAGTGAGTGAATACTTATTTTATCCAATTTTGTTGTACCATTATTAAAGATAAGATCAAATTAATGGGATCACGTAAAGATTAATGATGTGCTGTCATGTGACATCTCGAACCAAATAATTTCTTCTTTAAATGGTATGTTCTTAACAAAGAAAGAGATATATATAGTGGTGGTGTCATACTAACAGCGCCAAGGATATTTGTAAATACAAGAATTTTAGAATGTTGAGGCTACCACCAAAAGGAATTTTATTTTTCGGTGATTGGATAGTTGGTGAATGTAAAGATAAATTTATAATACCATGCACGGAATAACAAATAATAACTATTAATTTACATTCAATATTCAAATTGCGGAATCTGTCTCTAAACAAATTGGAAATGATCAAAATTTGTATCAGATGATCAACACATGATTTTGATGTGTAACATAAACTAATATTATGCAATGCAATTATTTTTATTGAAAGAATTAGGGTGAAATAGCGAAAAACAATCACACTTTACTGATAAAGGAGAAGCAGAATCAAACTCTTGATAAGATAAATTTGTATTATGTTAACAAAATTTTAATAAGTTGACCAATTTTGATTTTTATGATTATCAAATAAATCTATATATATTATTTATGATAACTTGTTCAACAATCAGTTGACAATAATAAATAAATTTGGTAAAAATATGCGATTGTAGAATAAAGGATGTAAAATCACACTGAGTTCAACAATAGTCTGTCATTTTTATTCAATGCCCCAAGTTAAGACCTCCAGTAAAAATTATTTGTAATCAAATTTCGATTCAAAACAAATCATGAATGAATGTTTTGATTTGGGAATATGAAATTGATTTATATATATAAATCAAGTTAAATTCATGACTTAATAATTTTAAGACAAAAATGTCACAAGAAGGCGCGGAAATTTTTCAAACAATTTGTAAATTGCAAGAACCCATACCACAATATGTGTTGGGTCTCATCCCTGTTGTTACAACATTAGGGACATCACCATTTGGATCTTTGATACATAAACTGTCTTGGATTTTTAGATGTCTTGGTTGTCCTTTCACAGCTCTGTTTTACTACTTGAATATAAAAGATGACCCAGTGGAAATGTGCATATACTGGCTCCCGGCAAAATCTTTTATTACAACAGATAAAAAAATACTTGACTTTCGACCAGTCGGCCTTCACGTTAAAGATATGATAATTACTTCAACGCAAAAAAAGATTATTGAGAATTGTACAGCAACAGCATCTGTGTTGGATCGATTGTCCTCGTTAGCATCAGCATATTATATAACTGTTGGAATTATTGCGGGAATTTCCGGGGTGGTAGGACCATGTACTCTTGAAGATTGGCCCTTTTTAACTCTGTTATTTCTTTGGACTTTTGGGGTGATTATGAAGCGAACATTTGGAACAGGGATAGTTGTAGTCAAGGACCCTGAAATAGAGTTAGAGGGTCGTTTAATAAGAGCGTTAGAAGAGAATGAAGACATAAAGGCTATACAAAACGAATTCACTGAACGGGGTGAAGAGTTCACAATAAGACGATTTGACAAAAACCCTTTACATATAAAGTTTATGTTTACATTTACCGCTTTATCCTCAATGGCATTGTCTTGGGTATCAGTAGGCATGGCCTATTACACTCCTCCAATCGGATTTTTTTGTAGATCCAAATTTCTTGCGGTATTGTGCATTATATGGACGTTCAACAGTCTTGTGGGATGCATTTGTCACATTAATTTTGGACGTGATTTTTTAAAAGAAAAAAAAGTAAACGTCAATAAAGTTATTCATGCTTATTTTGTTTTCTCCGGTATTGCAATAACATTCCATTTGTTTATGCTAACTCTGCTGATCAATAAATCGACACTATGGGTTGGTGTGTTTGGAAACTCATGTATAATAAGCTCCTGCCTTTTTGATTTGGAAAGGTGAATATCTACCAATATACCATCAGATCCCTCAGCTTCAACCCGCACAGTTGAACTCGAGCATGACAATTTATCGATCGAAGCAACTTTATTTTCGCTGTTTTTAATTCATCTTTATATTTTACTCTATTATTATTGTATAATGGAATAATAGTAATATGGTAATAGTAATAATAGCCACATGATATGATACCGTGGTAAATCTTTACTTAAAACGGAAACGCTTGTTTCTTTATTTTATTTAACGAAACAAAAGGAAAATTTAAGTGTTACGAAAATGATTGCATTGTATATAGAATAGTTAAAGTTGAGTACTGCCAGTTCGTCAGGAGTTCTATTTATAATAATAAATAATGAAAAGATGTTGGACCAGCAAAAAAACTTGAGCTGACTATGAGTTGATATCTCTTCCGTCCCTTTGATAAATTTATGTTTAGATAATTAAGCCACCGTTAAATGCTTCTGATTGGCTAATTTGAAATTCACACGTGTGAATTTCAAAGTTTATAATGAAATTTCCCAACTTCGTTATATTGGACAATTTACTATATAGTAGGTAGGTTCACTATATCAAGTGCTGACTGTGTACATGTATAACAAACCTTTCACTCGCAGCTGGTCAATTTGCAGACTGCAGCAATCCATTTTCGGAATTGTTTCTTGACTTATTTCATTATCTTTAGCAATTTTCATTAATTCTGTATGAAAACCCCTTGTAAAATGGTAAATTATTTTCTGGTGAATTTTACACTGTTTAATAAAAGGATTTTGTGAATTGCTAAAAGCAACCATATTTGACTTGGTTGACTGTATGTTATTATTATATTGCTGCTTTTGTTTGTTTATTGGCCTTTATAAAAAATTTAAGAAATAATTTTATGTAATTGATTAATTAATGATTTATATAACATGTAATCTGTGGATTTCTAAGTATAATCAATTCATTAATGGAGATTTTCTCATTCTAAACATAATTGCCTCAAACGTAATTGGCACATTAAAGACAGCCAGTCACATGAGGATTATAATAATATTTCTCTTGTATTAATATTGAATTTTTTAATTCAGTTCACATATGTGACTGTCTACAGCAAAAACCACCTCCGAGGTAAATAACTCATTTTGTGTACGTAAATACAAAATCAAAATTTGTTACACAGAAAAAGGAAAATTGACCCCCGAAAATTTGATCTAATTTTAAAAACTC